GGCGCCCCGGCCGATGGCCGATGGCGTGGTGGTGAGGTGCTGGCTCCCATGTGGCCGACCATGCAGCCCTGTCCTGGAACTGGGGGCTTGAGAACACGCCGGGCATGAGTGTGTGTCCAAAATCCCAGAAGGAAGGGGAATGGAGACGGGCACGGGGGGAGGCGCTGTGCTTTTGTACTTTCCCGCGATCTCTCTGTCTCTCTCCAGCAAGCACATGTGCCCACTGGAAAAGAAAAAAAAACATTATCATGCCCATTTCACAGACAGAGAACCCAAGGAGGGAAGCAGGGACCAGCAGTTGGCGTAATGGCTACGTTGCTGGACTCCCAAGTAGTTGACCGTGGTTCGAGTCCCGGACCCAGTGGCTTAAACTCAAGCCGGGCACGTGTATGTGCGTGCCCAAGATCCCGAGAGGAGAATTGAGGAGAAGGGATTGTGGCGTGGCCATCCCACCCTGAGGGGGTGGTTTCTTGCTTTCTGTCTCCCTGTCTTTCTGTCTTTTTGGCAAGCGCACACGCCCTATAGCAAAAACCTCTCAAAACAAACTAGCAAGGAGAGGAGGAAGCTGGTTGGCCAGGGCTTTATTGTTATGTCAGGGTCTAACCCAGCTCTGGGTGACCTTGAAGCTGGTGTTCTTGACGGAGTCCCAGGATGCCTGGGGGAGCAGCAGGGCCTCTGTTCACAGAGGGCAGAGGTGGGACTCCCGGCTGACCAAGGTCAGCAGGCCACCTTGGGGAATGTGGGGAGGAAGGAGACGTGGGTGGGGGCAATAGGCTGCACAAGGCCGGCCCCCCCGCACGCACAGATCCATGCGTCCACGTGGGGCGTCGTCACCTGTGCTCTGCAATGCTCCCCTGCCCGCGTTCTGCAGAGGATGGGCTGTGGGACCTGGGTGTACAGCTTGACCTCTCTGCGCCTGATAAGTCAGAGTAGTCGGCCCTGTGTGGGAGTGCTCCGTGAAGGTGACCTTCCTGCTGCCCTCTGGGAAGCTGCTCCCCTGCCCCGCCAGGTGGACTGTGAAGAAGGGTCGAGGCTCAGAGTGGGGGAGCCGCACAGCGGCCAGCTGGAGCCCGAGCCGGGCGTTTTTCCAGCCCCGCCACCTTAGCGCGGTGGACTGGGAAGGAAGGGCCGTCCTGGTCAGGCTGTAGGTCCCAGCCCCTTTCTCGGCTGTGCGACGTGAGGCGGTGCCGGCCCCTCTCTGAACCCGTTTCCTCGCCGGTACTGTGGGGCGAGGTGGGGACGGCGGCCGCCAGGCTCCGGGCCACCGTCCAGCTGTCCCCTGTGCCGCCCCAGGTGATCACGCTGGAGGGCTGGGTGGAGATCATGTACTACGTGATGGACGCGCACTCCTTCTACAACTTCATCTACTTCATCCTGCTCATCATAGTAAGTCGGGAGCCGGGCCAGCTCCGGACGGGGGCGGGGGGCCGGCCGGGGAGGGCAGGTCCCTGCTCCCCTGGAGCCCAGAGAGCCAGGCGGTGGTGAGAGGGGCTCGCCGGGGCGGCGGCCGGAAGTGCCAGTCATGCCCGGATCGCCCGGATTCCCACTTCCGGGCAGCAGCGTCCATCTGGCGGTCTCCGCGCTTTCTCTGCCTCGTGTCTCTGCCATCCTTCCTATTCATGACCTTAGCCGAGGCTAGGGGAGCGTCTCCAGGGCTCCGGCCTACCCCTGTTTTCCTGGGGTGGGAAGAGAAGATGCTCGGAAACTGACCCCAGGGCTGCTCCCGGAGTGGGAGCTGGTGGCCACTGGGCGGAGCTCCCTGAAACTCTCCGGGGTACTCTGCCCCCTGGGGGTGACCTGGAGATGGAGGCGGGGGGGCGTGGCCCACCGCCCACTGCCCAGTCTCTCTAAGGTGAGCGAGTCTTCCTCGTCACGCCTGGCCGCACCCTTGGCACAGCGCGATCCTGTGTCAAGGCCCTTCCCTCCCAGGAGTCGCTGCTCACTCCTGCACCTGCAAGACCGGGCTCTCCAGCGTCCTGGTGGCCGTAGTGGGCACACTTGGCTCTCTGGGGCATTGTCCAGCCTGGGCTGGCCAGACTTTGACCTGGAGCCAGAACAAGCTGTCTGGTGACCTGAGACACCTGCCGCTGGCTTATCCTGAGGGCTTGGGGTCATGGATCTATAGGAGGCACCCAGCAATAGGAGAAGGGCCCGGGTTTTGTTCAGCATTGCCACTGACCCGTTCACTTGTTCAGCAGAATGTTCAGGAAAGCCTGTGCTGCCTCAGGCCGGAGCTGGGGCTGGATGCAGCAGTGGGTCTGGTCAGGCCCTGCCCCAGGGGAGCTCAGTGTCTATGGGGGAGGGCCAACACGGACAGTGACCATAAAGCATTTTAGGTGCTTTGATGGAAGGAAGCCTACCTGAGGGGGTCCAGAGGAGGTCCCCCGTCCAGCCTGGAGGAGGGACAGGAAATGGGAGGCTTCCTGGAGGAGGTGATATCAGAACTGGGGTGATATCAGTGGGGGAAGAGCATCTGGGCAGGGGTGACTGGCAGCAGCCCTGAAGCGGGTTAGAATCCTGCTGGGGGACCACACACCACCGGCTTGCTAGAGGAGCCTGGAATTCTGGGGGACTGGAGAATGTTCTCTGCTGCTCCTCGTGGTGTTGGGGGGGGCAGCGGGGTCATTACTCACACGGTGACCTTTGGTTCTCCTCCCCAGGCCAGAGAACTGGGGTGCAGAGACAGCACCTAGCTCCTAGGCCGTGGGGAGGGGCCGATGAGGCAGAGCCTGGGGTCTGCACACCTGCCTGCCGTAGTGCTCAGGGGGCCTGCTCTTCCTGCTGCTGTCGGTGGGCCCCAGTGGCCCTGGCACAGGACTAGGGTGCTGGTGGGAGGCCTTTTTCCAGGTACTGGGAGGGGTCCAGAGGGAGCGCCTGAACAGGCATGCTGCCATTCTAGCCTCACAGACCTGGCTGGGTGGGGTCACCTGTGGCTCCTAGGGTGAGATCCTGGGCTGCAGCGGGCAGGACGCCTGGCCTGGGCCGCACAGCCGGAGGGGTCCTCCGCCCTCAGACCCCGTCTCCAGTGCTCCCGAGCAGGGAAGACGCCTCTCCTCTGAGCTCCCATTTTACAGATGGGGAAGTGCAGGTCTGGAGAGGGGCCCTGCCTGGTCCCCCAGGGCTGCAGCTGCAGAGGCAGTGCTGGCAGGAGCCTGGCAGGTGTGAGCTCCCGGAGCAGGGTCTGAGCCCTCTGTCTGCCATGACCTTCACACAGGCTGGTGCAGGCCGCTCTGGGAAATGCTTGTGGACAGAAGACTGGGGCAGAAAATGGGGGTACCTTCTTGCTGGAGAGTCCAGGGATTTTTCCAGAGTCCTCTGGGCCAGGTTGCTCCTACCCCACCTGCCGGAACTGAGCGGAAGCAGAGTGGACAGATCAGGGAGGGGACTGTGGCCCAGGCAGCCCTGGAGGAGCTGACGTCCCAAGTGGGATGGCGGTGTGGCCGGGCTGAGGGCTCTGAGGGCCGCCAGGCCTGGGGAGCTGCCTGGGCCGCCGCCTTCTCCTGGAGCGCGGCCTCAGCGATCTTTTCCTGTCCCTATCTGTGTCTGTGCCTCTGTCTCTCTGGGCCCCTCCGTCCCCCCGTTTCTCTCTCTCCCTGTCTCCACCCCTTACCCACCCCTGCCTCTCTGCATCCCCCATGCTCTCGCTTCTGTCCTCTCTGAGCCTGTCTCACTCTCTCTTGTCTCTCTCTGTCATCGTCTCTCCGTGCCCCTGGCTGTCTCTTGGCATCTGCCTCCCTGCTCGGTCCTTTTTCCTGTTATGTCTCTGATCTGTCCCTGCCCCTCCTCCTGTCTTCCTTTCTGTCTCTGTCCCTCTGTCTCCATCCTGTCTCGTCGTCTCTCTTTCTCTGTCTCTCTGTCTCCCTCTCCTTGTGTCTCCCTGCTGGTTCCTCCCCTGTCTCTGTCTCTCCCACCCCCTCGTCTGCCTTGGTCCCTGTCCCTGTCCTCTCCTCCCGTTGGTCACAGGTGGGCTCCTTCTTCATGATCAACCTGTGCCTCGTTGTCATAGCGACCCAGTTCTCGGAGACCAAGCAGCGGGAGCACCGGCTGATGCTGGAGCAGCGGCAGCGCTACCTGTCGTCCAGCACGGTGGCCAGCTACGCCGAGCCCGGCGACTGCTACGAGGAGCTCTTACAGTACCCGTCTCAAGCACCGGCTCCGCCCCCTGGGCCTCCACCGGGCCCTGCAGAGCCGGCGCCGGGCTGCGCACCCGGGGGCCACTGCTCCCGCCAAGCCCGGGGTGCACACCGAGGAGCCCAGGCGCTACCGTAAGTGGCCTCCGCCGCCCTCCGCCCCAGGGCTCTGGCACACGCTGGTACACCGCGTCTCAGCTCCCAGCGCAGGGCAGGCGGGGGACTTTTCCGGTCGTCACTGCACACCAGGGGCTCTGGGCCACACTCCTCCAGACCACCTGCTGGAGCCTTCCGGGGCCAGCCCCAGCCCTGGCCCAGACCAGGAGGAGCCCTCCCAAGCCCGGCATGTGCCCGACGTGGGCGCTGCCCTGCGATCCACACTTAGAACTGAGCAGTGGCCTGTCCTTGGTCTGGTAGGACCTTCCACCACCACACCATGGGTTCCAGCTGCCGTCCCCACCTCCCAGCACACCTGGTGCAAAGGGGCATGGACTATCCGTACAGGGCGCCATCCACCCCGGGCTCTGCTCCCGCCCTGCAGCGCTGTCAGCCAGGTGCTCTGAGAGCCATGATTTTAGGCTTAGAAAGGGCCCTCCTGTTACCGCATCTGCTCCAGAAAACAGTCCTGAGAAGGGGGTGAGTGAGTAACATTACCCTCGATTTTCAGATGGGAGACTGAGGTCAAGGAGACGAGGAGTCATGTAAGGGGTGCCGTGTGTCTGAGATGGAAGCTCAGGGGCAGGGAGTGTCCGAGCGCTGCCTCCTGCTGGAAATGAGCCGCTCCCTTAGGAGGGGCAGACCGGGCCCCGGCCCTGTGCTGGTGCTCCCAGACGATGCTGAGCATGACTGTAGGCACTGGGGTGTACCCAGGGCTGCTAACTGTACCTACCTGCAAGTGACATCGAGCCACCAGGGCCTTCTGAAGGCCTGTCTCCTATCTGTGGAGTGAGGGTCAGGCCCAACCAGTCCGTGACTGTGGGCGGGGAGGGAGCCTCAGCTTGCTCTACCAAGCCCTGTTCTCCCAGCTCTCGTTTTCTGGGACTCCGAGAATGGTGGGAGTCAGGAAGCCTGGCCTCAGCTGCCGCCCACCCGCCCTCGGTGCCAGCTGTCCAGGCGTGGTCTTGGAGGAGGCCCAGTGCCCGTGGGCTGGCCCAGCACGTGGATGAGGTAGCTGGGGTCTGGGCACCTGTGTTCCTGGAGGATGTGGGGAGGGGTGTTTACTGCCAGGGGCTTCCTGCTATGGCTGCCACCATGGAGGGAATCCCTGGGCTTTCCTGAGGGCGGTCTTGGCCCTGCCTCTGCCATGGCCTCTTTCTGTCCCACATCCAGGTGGGAGCAGTGGGGCCAGGAAGGGCTTCAAGCTGTCCTCCAGGGCTGAGGACTGAGGTGGGACCAACCCAGGCTTCTGGCTACCTGCCTGGCCCTGGCCCTGGCCCTGGCCCCGGCCCTGGAGGAGGACTTGAGTCTGCGGGCACTGTCTGGACTCGGGAGGTGTTTGGGGCAAGCCTGGAAGTGAAAGTAGGCTGGCGTGCTCTCTCTCCCTTTAATGCTACTGCTTTTGCTTACACAAGCAAAATGTGTTCACACGAGGAAAATACAGAAATCAGAGAGGGCACCAAGCAAGCAGAGGGGCCTCTCTGGCACCTCTTTGACAGGGCCCTCCGCACAGCGCGGGAGACTGAGACTGGGCCAGTGAGGGATGAGAGCTCCCACCTTGTGGCCCTTCCTGCTCCCAGCCTAGCCAGCCCAGATTCCTGGCTCGTGTGGAGGGAAGGCCTAGCTTCCGGGATAGAGCATGCCCTGCGCGGCTCCACGCCTCTCCTATCGCAGGGAGACAGGACCCAGCCACCTTGGCTTCCTCCAAGGGGTGTCCGCCCTCCATGGCTGCTGGCTCTCCCAGAATCACTCTAGTCCCCCAATAATGATGGGGCTCTGGGAGGGGAGGGCCTGTGCAGCCACCCACCTGGGGTCTCTGGCTGGGAGAATGGGAGGTCAACATGGGCTTGGGCCCTGGCACTGTGCTGGGCCTGGCGCCTACAGTAACTCAGGGAGTCCTCCAAAGCCCACAGAGCGGGGCCTCCACACCCTCCTTCGTGGTGGGGCAGGCAGACCCCAGAGAAGTGAAGCCACTCCCTGGGAACACCTGGCCCCTTGGCCTCCAGCCCCAGCAGATGGGGCTGGTATTCCAGGCCGGCCCTGTGGGCACGGGAGCCTGGGCGCACACTGGGCTGTGTGCCGGGGTACGTGGGGGCCTGGCAGCACTGACTCTGCCCTCTGCTTTTCAGAGCTGTGCCCGCGACACAGTCCCCTGGACCCCACACCCCACACGCTGGTGCAGCCCATCTCCGCCATGCTGGCCTCCGATCCCGCCAGCTGCCCGCGCTGCCAGCACGAGGCGGACCGGCGGGCCCCGGGGCAGGGCGGCGACGCCTCCGGGCCGGGGGGG